TTCGGCATCTTGTGCTTGCTTCCTTGCGTACGGATGACAGCTGCGTATGATCTTTTTTTTTTCTGGTACCTTCACTTCCTGAGACAGTTGTAAGCACTGTGTAACTGCCTCGAGGGTGCTTGACCATTTTAACACAACGTGGTGCGATCACCCCCCTTGCGCGGAGTGAGGATTCTCCACACCGCACAACATGATCTACTCGACCACCATTATGGTTTCCGCCCAAAAAAAAAACAGAGGTAAAAAAACAACCGGTAACCTGGTTGCCGACTTCACGAAGTGAATTGGCTTGTTTTACAACGTCGTTGCCAAGCGACGAAAACCCAATCCCGATGGCAAACACCGAGGGGGGGGGCTTAGGTCAAATCCTCTGTGGGAAGTTAAAATGTTTTCCGCGTGGATTATTGAGCCAGAGATTTCCTCGAGAGGGAGTGGGGGGCATCATGTCTCCAGGAGCATTTGGTGAGGCGTTTCTCCCAGCGGAGACTGCTCGGAGCAATGCACGTGGTATTCTTCACGTCAACGAGGGGGGTGTACATCTTACGAGCGTTGCATATATTTTTTGGCCGCTTAGAAGCAACACACACCAGGTAAGTGAACAGAAATACCATGGCCAAAGTATGGACGAAACAGCCTTTGATGTTGAAACAGTGTATCTTTCCTCCTCTTTCCCGAATCACGAAACATCCTACGATATGCTACAGAATATACGTGCATCCCCGTGACGGAAAACAAGAGAAAATTAATGAGAACCACCGAAGAACGCCGCGTGGCTGCCTATGCACGCACGTGGTCACGAGGACTACCAATAAAAACGTATTCTCTACACCAGGGCAGAGCGCTATTTCGCTGCGAGTCACACCGTCCAACATTATGTCGCCCAATTTCACCCTCAATTATTGAAAACGAACAACCACAAGTCTGCGTGGATGACGAGTGTCCAGGGTGCATCCCCGCAACGGAAAACTGACGAAGCGAGTGCGAACGACAAACAGAGACAAGACGATTTGCCAATGAACACGAAATCCCTCCCCTACACCAGGACAAAATGCTATTTCGCTGCCCGTCACACCGCCGTTATTCCTTACATGACCAAGTTGAAAAATTATCGCCGTCAACTGTTGAAAAAAACGAACGGAGGATGTGTGCATGGGAGCAGTACACGACGTGCTGTAAATATGTATCACTAGACACTTACGGGCACATTGCTATGCCCAAGTCAAACAAGCAAGCAATAGAAGGCGAACGTCCCCCAAGAGGATACGGCAACAAACGTCCAGAAACCTCCCAAGTCCTAACCGAATTCTGTCGTCCTCAAGCATGTCAACACATAAAAAACACGGTCAAAACTCTTAAAACCTTTCCGTGTTGAGAGAAATGTATACAAGGACCGTGACGCATCATCCGCAATAATAACCTTACCCTCAACCCTTGGTAGAATGCTAAATTTTGTGCACCCCCGTCGCCTAGACTTTGTTGGTAGCGAAACCGATACCCCTTGCATGCGCCGGCAGCTCCAAACAACTCAAAACCATGCCCGAAACGCACCCTAGCAGCGTATCGCCCAAGGGATGCACCGAAAGGGCACAGGTCTCCACCGGTGTGCGTTCTTGCGACAGCTCCAAGGTCTCGGGACAACATGCGGACTGTATACCTTCCGACACGCTTCCACCACAATAGAAACACATTTGCAGGCCACCTCCTACGGTATATCTCGCGAGAACAGCGGGTGCAGCAGATATTCGGCTTGAAACCGGCTACGTCATCTTACCAATATAACGAAACAGTGGGGACGAAAAAAGCAGCCACACACAGAATTTCGGAACCCAAGTTTCTCACATATAACCAATCACCCAGCGAAGCTGCCTGGCAGTCTGCACCCCTGCTTTCAATCGTCGAAAACAACAACGCAGTGCCCCACTCAACCGCCCATCTCTAAGTAAACCATCCCCGAGCCTCTGATTTTGACCATCTTCCGAGACTCGGCTCCATTGGCTGCCTACTCCATTCCTGCTCCCTTCGTATTCATCTCTCCTCGCCACCGCCACCGCCTGAATATGACACGAGCTCAACGACGTCCGGCGGGAGGGGGGCGAGATAGAGAGACAGAGACAAACAGATTGCGCTGTAAGAGATGGTGGATCGCGTGCAGTGATACGGCACTTTCATGAAACGGTACGTGCGTGTTGCAACAGGTCAGTCGGTCGGAGGGATGGAAAGCTTTGCCGATGCCAAGACACAAAACACAGCGTTGTCCCATGTGGAAAACATTTGTTTCCCTCGCACACCGAGTGCTGCAGATCTTTCCCAACAACCAACACTCGGCGAGCGCGCAGCTGCACCCCAATGACAAAAATAAAAGTCACTTGTCGGTACCGGTTCTCGCTACAACATAGGTTATGAGTCACAAAAGCATGAAATCCTACACACACGCCGTCACAAATGATACACAGCAACACCAACGCAGCACAACACAACACAAAAACGAAAACCAAAAGAACACCCACCTGTCCGTCCCCGTCCTCTCCAGGAGAGTAGCTCTCCTCGACGCTTTTGGCGCTGCCTCGTCTGCTGCTGCTGCCGTTGCCGCCCCTGCTACTCTTGCTGCTATCCCTTCTTGTTGCTGCGGCTTCTCCTGATAATTGAAAAAAAGAGGAACAGGAAAGCAAACGACGGAACCTCGGCACGTTAGAGAGGGAACTCTTGCCTTGTCGAGTACCGAAAAAA